GCGCCCGCCACCACGCCGCCCCGCCGCGGCGCCGCCAGCTTTCATGTTCCGGATGGTCGGCACTAGGAAAAGAAGAAACCTGAGCGCCTGCTGCGCGCGACTCGAGGTCGCGCGGCTCAGTGCGGGCGGTCATGGAGGCCTCACCTTCAAGAAGGGAGGCCGTGTGGACCTCTCGGGAACAATCGGGCGACACGGCGCCGCTCTCCTCCCCCTCCGCCGGCGCCGCGCCGCCGGGGAATTCCTCCTCCATTGGGTCTGACCCAATGGTCAGACCCGCCTCCGCGGCCTGCGCCCCCGCAGGCGCCGCGCTCCGCGCGCAGGGTGCGGTCGCCGCCGCGGCCTCCGCCGCCAGCCGCCGCCCCTCCTCGCCGTCCACCACCGCCGCGCTCGTACCAGCGCTGGCGGTGGGGAGGCGGGGTCCAAGCTGCTCCTCAGAGAGGGAAGCAGCAGCAGCTGCTGCCTCCTCCTCGTCGGAGGTGTAAGCCTCGCCGCCGCGCGTGGCGCCGAGGCCGCGCCCGCCAGCGGCGGCCGCGCCGCCGCTCGCCTGCGCGCCAGCCGCAGGCCCAGGCGGGCCGGCGACGGAGAGCGAGGCAAAGGCAGCTGCGAGTGCTGCTGCTGCGGCCTCTGCGCTGCGCAGCGTCTTGTCGGGCAGCACGCGCTCGCAGAGCGCGAGCGCGGCGGGCGAGAAGCCGAGAGCCGTCGCGCTCGTGCCGCCTTGGATCGCAGTCAGCAGCTCCGCCACGTTGCCCACGCCCTGTTGCAGCATCTTGTCCTGCAGCATGTCCGTGTTATGCGCAGAGACGTGGGCGCGCGCCGCGAGAGCCGCGATGCTCTCGTCGAGGTTGATGGTCGGCTGCGCGGCCGCCATCGGGAGCGAGGCCGCGGGCGTGACCCGGGCCTCGCTGAGCTTGGCCGCTACGAGCGCCAAGAGGGAGAGGAGCGCGGCCGGCGCCACAGAACGCCGTCGAGAAAGAATTTTAGTAAAGAATTTAAGTAAAGAATGACCCGCCATATTTTAATATTTGACACATATCCCTTGTGTGTCGGCTTGCCGTCCTGGCGGCCGCGTCCTCCCATCCCTCCCTTGCTTTCTTTTTTCTTTCTTTCTTTCTTTACACACACACACACACACACACACACACGAAGGCCCCCGCACGGGGGGTCCCGGCCGACGTCATGATCGTCCGGACGCGGCCCTCCGTACACGGAAACAGGATACTCAAGGCATTCCCGAACTCAAAACAGGATACTGAGGGCATAGCTCCCCAGTTCTAGCTTGGGATGTCCGTTGTATTTATTAGCTCCCCGGTCCTGGATGTGCGGTTGCTGACTGCACTCCAAGTGCTCCAAGGGTCCGTGCGAGTAAAGAAGTGCAAAATGACTGAAAGGAGCACACACGTGACACGACTTAGCAAGTCCGCACCAGCGACTGCCCAATGCGAGAGTTTTAGTGCCGCGACCCCATCCCTCCTTGCGTTGTGTGTTCGGTCCCAGTGTCGTGCGAGGCCGAGGGAAAAAGAAAGAAAACAGACTCGGCAGGGAGGGATGGGAGGACGGCACGCCGCCACCACACAGGGATTTTAAGGAGAGAAGTGTGGTGCTAGCCGAGGGAGCTTTCTTGTAAATTTCTTTTTCTTTTTTTCTTTAGTGTACCCTGGGCCGGCGCGGGGGGCCCAGAGGGTGTCCATGCGGGGGGGGGCGATGGGGTCCCCTGGCCCGCCGCAGGCGCCGATTTTTACTCTTGTTTTCAGCCCCCCGTACTTGCGGCCATGCTATCACGCCTTGCGACATCCTTTCGGCGCTGCTGACCGTGCCATGCTGCTCAACTGACCGCCTGCATAGCTCGCGGCCTTAGTATCAAGCATTCAGTGACGACCTGATCGTACGGCCAGTAGGAAGGTGTCCTTCCATCGTGTGCACGCTTCCTGGCGCAATGTGCGTCGCCTCGGATTGGCTGCTGGCACTCTCGAGGCTATGCCTACGCAGCCTCGCGCGCATGGGCAGTCAAGAGGGACCACGCACCTTCTCAGGACAGCGCCGGTGCCTCTCTCTTGGACCGGCAAACTTGGTGGTCTAGTGTCACCAATGTGGGACCAGTGTGGCATCGCGCCATCGACAGCTCTGAACTGCGCCTCACCACTGACCGGGAAGGCCGCCAAGTGGGCCATCACAGGTCGCACATTGTGGCAGCAGTCAGCAGCGCATGTCTGATAGCTAGAGCAGCAGCGTCAGGGTCGCAGGGTCGGATCGTGTCAAGCCTCTCGCCCGGCCGGCCGCGTGCAGACGTCGGCCTGTCTGCTGTCTGGAGTGATCTGTCGGCGGTCAGTACGACCGATCAGGTCGGAGTTTTCTGATGGTTGGAGGGTCTATCTGTATGTACTCCTCGAGATCTCTCCAAATCTGCCCTCTGTTAGACCGGTTTAGATCGGGAAGTTGGTGCTAGCTGAGACTAGCGGAGCCGGAGCCCCGTAAATTTGGCCGTATTTCCGCACTGCTGCGCGGCGCACGGTGCCTCCTCCGGGGGCCCCCGCGCCCCCCCAGAGGTGCCTGTGTTAGTGCCAGTGCGCGCCAGTCCCGTGTCGAAGTCCCGTGCCCAGTGTCGTGCGAGGCCGAGGGAGCTTTGCTGTAAAATTCTTTCTTTAGTGGCGCTAAATAAATAAATAAAAACGGACACCTCTACTGTGTGAGATGGGTAAAAAGGATTTAGTGGCGCTGGCGGTGTGGCGCCCTCAAAAAAGCGCACCTGGACGCGGACCCGCACCAGCGTGTGTTCTTCACCTCTACGAGCTCCCCGGCCCTGTGTGTGAGGTTGATGACTGCACTCCAAGTGCTCCAAGTGAGTCTGGGTGATGGCTAGCACCACACTCCTCTCCTTAAAATCCCTGTGTGGTGGCGGCGTGCCGTCCTCCCATTCCTCCCTCTTGGTGCACTTTTTCTTTCTTTTTTTGCGCTTAGGCTCAGAGCGAGTTCGGTGTTCGCGCGCTGGCCGCTGCCACTCTCTTCAGTACACGGTACACGCCATTTCCCGGAGATTGAGACTGAATCTCAACACTACCCGCCTCACACATCAATGTAAAAGTACACACACAACACACACCCTATCTATCTATCTCGGCGTCAGGCCGGCGCCGCGGTCATCAGCTGCACGACCAGGGACGGCCAGGTCAGCGCCGACAGCGCCGCCGCCGAGGCGAAGAGCGCCACCGGCCCGGCGGAGAGGTTCGCCGAGTCGCCCGGCTCGTCGAGCACCGGCCCGATGCCGCCCTCGCGCTCCTCCGCCAGCCGCGCCTCCCCCCATGGGACGGCCTCGGGCTCGGAGCCCGGCGCCGAGTTGACGGTGGCGCTCAAGTAGGCCACCCACAGGATCTCCATCGTGTCGATCCAGAGCAGCTTGAAGTCGAGCGGCACGAGCGGAGAGTACGAGATGAGCTGCACGGCCGGCCAGAAGCGCCACGACGACACCATCGCCGGCACGAGCACGCGCCGCGCCCGCGCAAACGCCTCGACGGCACCATCGCCCGAGAGCAGCCCGTTGAGGCTGGCGTAGAGCAGGTTGATCAGGGCGGAGAAGAAGGTCTGGTCGAGCGCGATCTTGAGGAGCAGCCCCCCCCACCGCTCGGCCGCGCCCGCAGGCTCGCCCAGCAGGTCCGCGAGCGGCCCCTCGAGCACGTTGATCCACCAGAAAACCAGCGGCCCGTGCAGCCCGAAGCCGAGGGCGGCGTTCCGCGCGCAGCGGCGCAGGTCGAGCAGCCCGACCCGCCACCGGCCCTCGACGCGCTGGGCGACCAGGTCGCCGACCGCGTAGGAGAGGCAGGACGTGCAAGCCATGGTTAGCAGCGGCGCCAGCTCCGCCGCCTGCGCATAGTCGGCGAGGAAGCCGGCGGGGATGCTCTGCGCGAGTGCGAGCGACTCGGGCAGCCAGGAGGCGCCCTGCTGCAGCGTGGAGAGCGCGGCGACGTACTTGCCAAAGGCGCCGACGAAGGCGGCGGTGGACGCGGCGAAGAGGATGGGGCCGTTGAACTGCGTCCCCGACACCTCGAAGACGACCTCTTCGACCAGCCGGTCCAGCATCCCGGCCAGGCCGCCGAGGCCGCCGCGCTGGAAGACCTGCTGAAACTCTTCGAGCGAGATCTGGCCGTCGCCGTTCGCGTCGACCTGGTCGAGGAGTGCCGTCGCCCGCGCCCGAGAGACGGGATGGCCCGCCTTGGCGAGAGCCGCCTCGAGCTCGGAGAGGTCGATGAAGCCGTCGCCCGAGGTGTCGCACTCGGCGAAGATGGAGGCGACCTGCTCAGCGGTGGGCTGCAATTGGCCTGCGCCGGCGCTGGTGCTGACGACTGCCGTGTCGAGAGCGGGATGCTGCTCGGCTTTACACCGGATGCGTGCGCCAACGACCACTCGACCAACCTCATGCAAGCGCACTTCTGCGTGTGGCTTCAGGCTCGATGGAAGGCGAGGCGCGAAGGCGAACCCCGTGGAGGCGAGCACAGCGATGAGCCACTCGACCATGCCAAGCGCACAAGGCAGAGAGGCGCACTCCCCCGATCCGACGTTTCCTGGAGGTGTCGCTGGACGTGTCATTGGACGTCTATTCCGATATTACTTCGGGCTGCCTCTTGTGTCTTGAAAAAAAGAACTTTTTGAGGGCGCCTTCGTTGCTGCGGCTCCTGAATGTGTCCACTTTTGGGTGGCGGTCGCGCGCTGCCGACGGCGCTCGCCGGCGCTACGGCGCTCGCGGCGCGCTCGTGGCGTTCAGGGCGGCTCGCACACGCACACGCACACGCACGCACACACACACACACACACATGCATGCATGCATGCACAGACACACAGCCCCTCCCCCCCCCCCTCAAGACCTTCCCAAGCAAGGGCGAGGACACGCGCAGGCCGCACCTCTAGAGGTCTAGTGAGGCCCGCATAGTATGTGGGAGACTCATGCCGCCGCCCCTGCCACCCCTGTGTCAGTGTGCCCGTGGTAGTGAGAGACTGCCGGTGAGAAGCCGGAGGCAGGTCGCAGAGGTCGCTAGACTGAGATGAGACCGCCAGTGGAGTTGGGATTCCACCGTGCACCGCGCTGCGAGCCTGTCGTGTCCCTTGTCAGGAGCAGGAGAGCCCCACCTGTGCCCCTGATCGTCCTTCCAAAATCCTGCTCGTGCAGGTGTGGACCCTGTCCTCCTCCCCTATGCCCTATCCCTCGTTGGCCTGTTTTCTTTCTTTCTTTTTGATACAAGCCCATGGTCCCTGGTAGCAGTCACTCGCACACACACGTCGCACTGCACCGCGTGCCCGCCCACCGCCCCGCGAAAGACATAAGAAAGGGAGAAACAGGCGCACCAGTATTTCTTACTTTTGCTCGAAGTGGTCCACAGCAGAGAGGCAGCAGACCGGAGCTCGGCCGAGACGAGAGGGTGTAGAATGGAGCAAGCTGCCAGCCCAGACCCTGCTGCTGCCAGCCCATCCGGCGAACGTTGCGGCGAGGGTCGCTTCGCCGCGCTTGGTGCAGAGCTCGGCGTCGCCGCAACGACGGATCTCTGGCTCGAGCGCCTCGCTCGCCTCCTTTGGACATGGGACCCTGCAGCACAGTCGGCTCCGCTGCAGCCCGTGTCGGCACTGCGAGAGGCGCGGGCGGCGGCGGCGGCGGCGCGGACGGCCGCCCGCGAGCCGCTGCTGCTTGGGTACGACGTGGCAGCCGAGGAGGCACGCGTGCGTGAGCTTGCCAGCCAGGAGCGCGCGCATGCCCTCAAGCGCGAGGCTGAGGCGCCGCGGCGCGACCAGCTCGTCAAGGTGCGTCCTTGGTAGCCCTCTTTTTTTTTTCTTTTTT